AGCTTTCCAAAGGTATTTATTCAGAGTATCATGGTTCGCTTCTGATAAACTATACCTACTAATATAAAGCAAACGGAAAAATCTCACGATAGTTCTAAATTGAATCTTTAATGGAAAATGGTCACTTCAGTGGAGCTAATATCAGAAGAAAATTTCAAACTTTTAGCTCTAAAAGTGTTCGTGGTGGTCGCTTACAAGAGGTTTCAATATAGTGATTTGAATTGGAAACTTTTGGTATTTTGGAAAACTGGTCGCTGAGGGGAGGTGGTCGTTTACGAGAGGTGGTCGCTACTGGAGGTTCGATTGTATAATTACAGTGATTCTATCGAAAAATACGGAGAGGTAAAAAATTGCTTACAACATTTTCCTCGTTGATATAACAACAAAAACGATAGCATACAGGGCTCAACAAGCTCTTTCGCTCAACCGGAACGGCCGCTATAGCATCTTTACGACGCACGAGGTTTTCTAGTAGGAACCCTAAAAATCAGAAAGAGGAACTATGATTTCTGAAAAAACTAATTTCTTGAATCAAAATATGGGAGCTGTTGAACTAAAAAGACTGATCTTAACTGTGAAAGTATTTTAATTGAAAGAGCTGAGATTATGAAACTTGCTGTGTGCCCAAATACATAGCATTTTCCAAAGAATTAAAAAAAACATATCCCAATGTAAAACGTGAGGTATTGTATTCAACCATTACACCATTAAAATCTGAAACCGTTCTCGTTTAGGCAAAAAAAGACCCTTTATTTCCCTATCAAGTTGCGTTTGAAGGAAATCTCACTTTGATGCGCACGTATCTGTCCACGTACCAATGAAGCGAGAAATAAAGCCTGGTTTTCGCTAACGACGCAGGCGCAAGCACAAACGCAAGCAATAGGGATAACCCAAGTGAAAACGAAATTTGACGCAAACACAAGCACAAGCAAAATCATCCGAGCCTTCCAAACTGTTTATATAGGCGCGAGGTAATCTGGTTCCAGTGTTTTCATTGGCCAAACATAACCTGGTGTGGTAAATATCCTTGTGCTTGTGTTATGCGTGAGCGGTATCTCGTTTTCACTTGTTGCAGCACAAACACAAGCATAAGCGCAAGCCCAAGAACATGGAAAAAATTTTATCCTTGTGCTTGTGCTTGCGCTGGTGCTTATGCCTGCCTCAAGGCCGTTTTCACGGCGAAATAAGAACTATTGTCGTTGGGCTTGTGTTTGCGATTCTGCTCGCGTCGCTAGTGAAAACCAGGATTTCTAGCTTTAGCCGCAACCAGGATGCGCAAAGCACTTCAACAGAATCACCAGATAATCTTTCTTGCTGTTTTCGTTCAATAGCTAAGAAGAATTGCGCTGACTTATACAAATGTGGCGAAAGAATCAGTGGTGTTTATACAATCGACCCTGATGGTTCAGGTGCCTTTAATGGTTTCTGTGACCAAACAACAGCCGGTGGGAGGTGGACAGTTTTCCAGAGGAGATTGGATGGCTCCGATGATTTCTACCGCGGCTGGGCCGACTACAAGAATGGCTTCGGTAATCTGAATGGCGAGTTTTGGCTGGGACTGGACAAGATACACCGCTTGACGAACACAAAGAACAGACTTTGAGTAGATCTGGAAGACACGACAGGCAAAACTGCTTACGCCGAGTACATGTTCGCAGTTACGAGCGAGAGGACTAAGTACCAGCTGAGCCTTGGAACTTACTCTGGTAATTCTCTTTTTCAATGTAATTGTCCTTCATGGAATGTTCCTTCATGGTAAGAAGTTTTAGCGAATAGACTGTTCTTTCGACTTTTCCCCCACTGCCTGATGTTTATCAAACGTAATCATGTTCTCGTACGTGATTTGCTTTTAGGAACGGCTAGTGATTCTCTTTCTTATCATCGTGGTTCCCTCTTTAGCACCAAAGATCAGGATAATGACAGCTGGAGCAGTAACTGTGCTATGGAGTATAAAGGAGCCTGGTGGTACGAGAGCTGTCATCATTCCAACCTGAACGGCGTCTATCATCATGGCGCGCACTCATCATACGCTGATGGTGTCAACTGGTATCACTGGAAAGGATATCACTACTCCGCCAAGAGAGCGGAGAGGAAGATCAAAGCAGTGAAGATTTAGGACCTTCTACACCACTTTGCTTTCTTGTTTGCTGGGTGATTAAAGAAGAGAGGGAAAAAGAAAATGTCGTTGCTGTTGTTGCTGCTGCTGTTGCTGTTGTTGTTGATGCGTCGAACATCTAACTACTTCTTTTCCAACCCCAACCCTCATAATATTATAGTGATTTATCATATTCCGCACCCTATACACCAGGGAAGTACATTGGACTAAACTAAACCATTCTAATCAACTGTTCCTGAACGCACTCGCAAAAAAATGGATTTACAGGGGCACCGGCCCAACCACGTTTTTCTCTCAAATGTTTAGGTTATCTGGAGTGCTTTATACAATATGCTTTGTAGGTTAATTTCAGGCTGCGCTATAATTTTAATTTTCTCTTTGGTCATTGTAGGGGAACTCGAGTGCTCTCGAATCTACTAGGTCTTTTTTGTCCATTTCCCGAAAACCTTACATGTAGGTATCATTGCCTTTCCAAAAACTATAGCTGACCATTTTTCAGTCACACGAACAACATTTTTATCAATCCAAAAACAGGCGTTAAATTTGCACATCAGCGTGATAAATGTTAGGGGAATGAAACACGGGACATATACACCCATTACATCACTCTTTTTATAGCTTTAGAGTACTTAAATGGGGATTTTTTTTTTTCTTTTTCGATTTTTACAAAACTGCACAATTATATCTAGCTTTCCATCGCAGAAAATATGTCTTTAGGTTTTGAATTTTAAAAGTCATGCTCAGGATTGTGCCCCTTAAAATATACTGTCAGCCCCTGACTCACCTTGTTACTAAGTTTCAAAATTAGTCAGTAGACTTTTTTTTTTTCCAGCTCTTCCAGTATAAACATTCACTATAATAATGCATCATTTCAAAAAACCTCAGCTACATGTGAAGTTATCTTAATGGCACAGGATATCAGCATTCTACAGCCAGACCATTGTGACATACTGCAGTTTACGGGCAATCATTGAAACTGCAATAAGCGTAAAAAGCTCTCTTGGCCTTTAATAAACAACTCCACAAATCAAAACGGCGTGGTAAAAAGAGTGTGCATACGAGCGGCGTAGATGCAAATAGCG